TGTTTATAATTGTTAGATGATTAATTATTATTTTATTCAATGCTTAAAAGTTAAAACTTATTGCTTACAAAATTATATTCTATGGATATTTGTACCTTCCATCATTCTAACTTGGTAATATTACGTGTTATTTTTATCATTTATAAATTTTAATTACTCTTTTTCTTAATTTTGGAGGCTTATGCATCATCTTTTTGAGCCATTATGCCTCAAGTACGCCTTTAGCATTTTAAAACCTTGATTGTCCCCTTGTGTGTGTATTGAACAAGGACAACACAGATAATGATTCACCAATGTTTCAAAATCCAAATAGTGAACGACAACATTAATTCACCGAGGTTCACTCAGGGACTCAAGGTTCACTTAGGGACTCACTACAACCGTGAGCGGTGGTCTCCCCACTTTGATTCATGAAAGAAGGTAAATCCCGTCCTCATAAATCCCATTGCTCCCTTTCACCATAGTATTGACATGGCTATGGTTCTGGTTTAGATTGGGATGAGTTGCAGCGGGGTGGAGTTTGTGATCTGAGAGGGAGTTTGTGCTGGAGCTAGGAGTGAGAAAGGGGCCGGAGGTGAAGGGGTCCGCTGTTGCGGGGAGTTGCAGCGCCGATTCTGAATCAAAGGATAGATAATGAAGGGGACGAAGGAAAGAGAAAGAGAGGGGCTGAAGGTGGAGGGGTCTGCTCATTGCAGCAACAACGGTGCTGAAACAGGGGAGAAAGAACAAAGGGGAAGAAGGAGAGAGAGAGAGCGGTTAATATTAGAATGGTGAAGATGAAGAAGAATTAAAGGGAAAATGGACCTTTCATCAATATTTCCCGAAACAGTATGGATAGTGTTAGGCAATAGTCAAACAGTAGGATATACTTAGTTAATTAGGTAAACCACAAGGGTAGTTTAAGAAATCTATCCATTTTTAATAATTCATATGATGGATTTAATCGGGGGATATTACAAATATTGAATGTTTAAGAGAGATATAATGAAAGAGATGGAGATTTAAGAATAATTTTATTAAAAAAGAGTAATGATAGGTTTTAATGGAGAAAATTAGAGACGTAAGTAAGGGTTTTTACAAGGAGATGTGTATAGTAAATTTTGTATATTTAATTTTTTAACTATATGCAAACAATTAGAGAAGGGGAGATGTGTGATGCTTTTGGTGAGAGACCTCTCGCCTCCACACTCTCTTTCTATTATATCGTAGAGATTCTTGACCTTCACAATTCATATGCAATGTATAAAAAAAGATATACCATTACTATATTCAATGGCAATTCAACAAAATGTAGAGTTGTAATTGAGTTGTGCTGCTCGTGGCCCGACACAATTTGATCCAGGCCCAACATGATCCAAACTGACCGACCAACCCATATATATATATATATATATATATATATTCAAAATTATTACAGTATTTTATTATAATTATATTCTATTTTTTTTAATTTCATTTTATTATTGTATATATAAACAATTGCATACATCAAAATTCATATAAAATAAAATTTTAAGTTTTTTTTTTCAAATTGTTGTCTTTTTGTTAATTGATTTTTTTTTCATTTTTTAAAATATACCTCTCATGGTTTGGCCTTGCTTGGCCCAAGGCTCGGACGACACAACACGGGTTTGTCTGGGCCCATGCCATGGGTCATACCGGACTGGACCATTAAAGTATGCCAAGGTAGCAAGTATGGCCCCACCTAGCCTGTGGGCCAGGATGGCCCACCATGGACCGATTTACACCTCTAACAAAATGAATTTGGACTAAACCCCAACAAGAACTCAAACATGGTAGCGAATCTTTGTTAGGGATGCAAACGGATCGGATTGTATTCGAACCAGGGTATATTCGAATTCAATCTAACATTGTTCATGTCGGACCCGATCCAATCTGATAGGACTCAATTTGAATTCGAATCATATCGGTAAGTTGGATCTTCGAATCTAATCCGATCCAACTTATTTTATTTAAAATTTAATAAATTATTAAAAGAAAAAATAAAATATACTAATTTAAATAAAGTAAAAGCAAAAAATACAAAGTTTTTTTAATTATTTTCATCATATATATACATGTTTTTTTTATAAAAAAATAAATAATATAACAAATTTATAAATAAATATAACATATATATGTATTATATATTTATAAATATATAATATATACCATATCAGACAAGAAATACTTGAATCCGAATACAAATATTCGATCATGGTGATCCAAATTTGACCAAATAGGATTGAGTCTTGGATCGGATCAAACGCTCCATTTGCACCCCTAATCTTTGCTACCATGGAAATGAGGTCACGTGCCCTACAAGTTGTCTTTATGGCTTTTCTTTCTTTTTTTCTTTTTAAAGCAAATGTTTTCACTATTACAAACAAGCATTTTCATCCACTCAAATTGGATCTCTATTTATATGTTTCATAGAACGTTTAAGCTATACTACTTATAAAAGAGTGAATGCCCTTTTTTTTGGAAATTTCATTTGACGTTTTCTACCCCTATTGTCTAAGCATACAATGAGCATAAAATGTCATTTACTCTCACTTTAGAAACTGCCTACTTATAATAGTTTAGAAACTACCCACTTGTTTTTTTTTCTTCTTTTTTTTTTTTTTGAAACGAAACCACTTATAATTAATAGTTCAAAAACTACCCACTTATAACAATAATCTACCTATGAATTATAAATAGTTTTGTCTTAGAGATACTTCCACGTGCAAATGCATGTACACATTTACTCTACAATTTTCACAACACCAATTCAACAATTATCTTAATTTCTTTTATAGTTCTCATACTCTCTCAATCTCTCATACATTATCCGGTTCTCCAATTCTCAACTTTATTGAAGTTTCAACAATAAGAAGGCTTGCTCAACAACTCAAGTATCTCAAGTTAGCAAATTGGGAGGCTTTGACTATTGGAATTGAAAGGCTTCAACCATTGAAATCAAGTTGAAAGGTTTCACCTAAAATAGATGATCAAAGTTAATAATTTTTGTATACTCAATAGTTGTATAGCATTTTTTTTCAAATTATTGCAAATTTTTAATTTTATTTGATTTTTTAATAACGTAATTTTTTATTTCAATTTGTAATTATATTGTATTTTTATATTTTATTAATTTATTTCATTTTCCAATTTTCATATATCATTCGTCCAACCATTGTATTCTTTGTATCATTCAAATTTAAATGAAATAAAATTCCTATTTTCCTTCCAAATTGTTATTCACTTTGTGTCTTTATCTCTTTGACTCGTTGACATTTTATTTGGTTAAGCATTTTTTTTCATTTATTTGTTAGAGTTCTTATTTTTTTCAAATAGCTCACAACGGAAAGTTAGATATTTTAGTTTTACTTAGCAAATAAATAAAAAATAAAAGTGTCAAAAAAAATATATCCCAGTTCGGTCCATGCCGAAGGCCCGGTCTGTGGCCCAGCCTGACATGGCCCAGGCCCACGACACAGTTTGCAGCCTGCCTAGACCAGGCCCGTGGCACGATCATGAGCATCAATGTCGACCTCGACATGACGAAATTTGACCAAATCATGAGCATCAATGTACGTGGTGTTGTCACTGGGATAAAGCACGGGCCTGGTCTTTCTCTTCATTTTCCTTCAAACCTTGTATAAGTTTTCCTGTCTTTCTCTTCATTTTCCTTCAAACCAAACATATCCTAAATGATTCAAAAGTCAAACCATTCAGCTCAATAGTTTATTGACTAAATTTGGGTGGATTATCACACACTTGGACATTTTATTATTTTAACCCTTTTATTTATTAAAAACAAATCTATGACACTAAAAATATATGATGTTTTTACCAAAAAAAAAGGTATGATGATAGAGGAGCTTTGACCAATCAAGTCCTCTATGGATTTTGATGAATTCCACTTAATTAATTACTAATTTACCACTTTTATGATAGGTTGGTTGGTTATATATATATATATATTTTGCTAGCATCACAATAGAGCCCATTTATAAAAGTTCAAAACAATGGTATGGCTCAATCCATTTAATATCGTGTTAACCTATAAAAATATATTATTTAAAAAAATAGAAAAATAAAGAAAGTATTCACGTGGATGAGAAATTAGTGAGTGTGGACTGGTCCACACCACACATTTCGATTCCATGTATCTCATATACATTTTATGAATAACTATACAATTAATCATAAATATATATTTTTTGCATTTTATATGATAAATATATTGAATTAATGAATTAATAAATTAATAAATATTAATTTTAATAAAAACAATAGTAAAATAATAAAAAAAAGTAAATTAATTAATAGTTTATTGATAAAAATATAAAAAAAAATATTTAAACAAACGATTTTGTTTCTAACAAATATGTTTCTAATAATTTGATTCTTTGTTTTTAACAACTGAGTTGGATTCTATGTTTCTACTTTCGAGTTCGATTCCATGCTTTGTTTCTATAGAAAAGCAATGGCAGAGAGATAATATACCGGTGGAGGAGAGTTTTGGCGGAGCACAAAACTAGAGATATTCGACATGCAGTGGAAACCTCCACGATAAAATGACGTGAAGCATGACATCAAAGTCAAACTGTGGACGGACCCCATGAAAATATACAGTAACCGATAATAGGTGTAGACAGGGTTGGTCCATAATACGGTATAGACTAATTCCGTTCACGACCAATTAAGCATCCTATTCATCCCGTGGCATGGACCATGAACACCGCCAAAATCAGGGATTTGCGGTGGCTGTGGGCTGGTGCAATAGTGCCCAAACCTTGAGTTCACATTTGCGCCCCACAATATTCCATAGCATATCTCCGTCGTTTACAGTGAATATCTCTCGATGATGTACCAAAAATGCATCGGGAGATGCTCCCAATATACGGCAGAAATATGCTGTGGGGCGTAGATCTGAACTCCCAGACCTTCGATATAATAGATTTTCCGTTTCCGTGTGTATGCGTGCGTGTTTTATTTGCTGTTAACACTTGGAAAGCCGGTAATCCCCCAAATCCCCGCCCATCAGACCATCATCACACTTTAAAACAAATATCGCAACGAGAGCGCGTGAAAGGTTAGCGATCTATCTAATTCTAATCTTCTTTGCCGCATAGAAAGAGCGCCTCTAGACGGTTTTCTTCGTCGCGACTCGTCACCATTTGGTTTGGGGGCCTCCGTTCGAGGAAGCGTCGTCGCCCTTTAATTTTTATCCCTCGTTATCGGTAAGACTCCACCATCACTCCTGATTGCAAATAAAACTTCAATCTCAAAGGAGAAAGAGCGAGAAGATTTGTCGGGTGATTTCTCTTTTCCGCTGGATCTTCGATTCTTCGTTTTGCATTTCCGCTTTCTAGGGTTTCTTTCTATCTTTTCCCCTCTTCGCTCTCTGTGATTTCTGATATCAAAGGTAGATTAGTTTCTACCTGCAGAGCACGAGAGGAGAAGATCCGTGGTATTTGTCTAGGACATCCATTTATTGTAATTTAGATGTTCGATCGCGTGGTTTTATAATGTTTCGAGTCAGTTCGCGTCAGTCTAGGGTTTTCTAAGCCCGGGGAAATAGAGGTTCAAGCGGTATTGCTGTTTTCCGGTTAGGGCTTTCTGGTTGATTGTCAAGGGTTTTTTGCTTTGCATAAGTTGGGTTCCTATCCCCCCTTCTTTTTATATATTGGTAGTTATTTGTGACTCGTGGGCAGCGGAACCCGACTATATGGCAGCAGGAAGGGATGGGGGCTACCGTGATAATGAATTCAGAGACCGCGAGTATATCAAGGCTTCGAGGAGGAGGGAATTTTATTACTCAACAGAAGAAAGCGATTACTATCACATCAACAAACATGATCGTGGAAGTGGTCGTAGTCGTAACCTTGAACGAGGGAAGGAACGGGATGCCAGAGATAGGATTAGAGTTAGACAGAAGGATATCAAGGAGAGGGAAGTAATAAATGGTGGCTACCGTTCTTCTTCCAGCACGAGCAATTCAGGCAGCACTGGCAGTGGCCACAGGCGAGGTGGGGTTTCTGTTAGGATGGCAGAACGCGAGCCAGGTGAGTTATCAAGTGGAAGTGGATCTGATGGTGCCATTGCATCTGAATCACAGGTTAAAGATGTGGAGGTTTCAAAGCGCGAAAATGGGGCTAGCTCACCCACGGGTAAGAAGAGGAAATTCTCTCCAATTGTATGGGATAGAGAAGAGAAGGATATGAGCATTTTACCTGAAAATAGGGTCGCTCCAACAAGCGCCCTGCCACCTCTGCCTACCATGCCTAAATCTTACCGCCAGTCACCAAATCTTGTTCCTGAAGCTGAAGGTAGTAAACAGGTTTCTCCTATCAAACCTAATGGACTTCGTAGCATGCCTTCTTCACCAGTCAAGGAAACAGTTGCACTTGGTTCGATGGCCTCTGTTGCATTTGATTTTTCAGCAGGTTTTTCCTCATCCCCCCAGGAGCAGCACTGGAGCAATGACCTAGAACCGGGGCAGCTGGAAGAGGAGGATTTTGTTCCAACACGAAATATATCTGCATCACGATGGGCAGATGAGATTAGTTCCCTGGGAAATGAAAGCGAAGTTTCTGATGATGAAGACATGCCTAAGAGGAGGAAAAAGGCAGGGTCAGTGGAAAATAGATTAAACATGAAAACATCAAGTCCTGAGCTTGGGGAGCTGACAAGAGAGGGCTCTGAAGGGTCTCGAGCTAAATCATCTGATTCCGATGGAGGAGGCCAAACAAGACTTGCCAGTGGTGGTGAACACCCTGAAAATGAGTTGGATAAGAATGATTTCGTGGAGATGAATGATGAATCTGAGAACAGTGGTGCCAGTGATCACCAGTTGGATACAGATTCTGAGATGGAGAATGATTCCCGCAAGACCCCAGAGCCTTCTATACCACCACAGAGAAATATAAACATGCTTCATGGGTGCAGAAGTGTTGATGAATTTGAGAGACTCAACAAGATAAATGAAGGTACGTATGGTGTTGTCTATAGAGCCAGGGATAAGAAGACAGGGGAAGTTGTGGCCTTGAAAAAGGTGAAGATGGAGAAAGAAAGAGAAGGCTTTCCTTTGACCTCTCTAAGGGAAATAAATATTCTCCTGTCATTACATCATCCATCAATTGTGGATGTCAAGGAAGTAGTTGTAGGAAGTAACCTTGATAGTATTTTCATGGTTATGGAGTACATGGAACATGACCTTAAAGGGCTGATGGAGGCGATGAAACAGCCTTTTAGTCAAAGTGAAGTAAAGTGTCTGATGCTGCAACTTTTAGAGGGTGTCAAGTATCTTCATGACAATTGGGTGCTCCATAGGGATTTGAAAACATCAAATATTCTTTTCAATAACTGTGGTGAGTTGAAGATCTGTGATTTTGGGTTGTCTCGGCAATATGGGAGCCCATTGAAACCCTATACTCATTTGGTGGTTACTCTATGGTACAGGTGAGCACGAAACTCTTTATGTCAATATCAACTTTTATCTTACATTAGTAGTGGCTTTTAGTTTTCCCTTTCATGTTTCCAACCTTTTGTCATAATTTCCGGATGGCTGTTTGATGACCAAAGTTTAGGAAATAATCTCAGGGAGTTCAAATCTCATTTCTTATTTCCAAAATTATTATTACAGTAATTGGGAATTTGAAACACTTGTGCTCAGCTTTCATTATTCATGTTTTCCTAGATCTTAATTGACGTCTTGCTAATTTAGCTTTTGTTTCCCATTTTGTGAAGGCATCTTTATTGTAACTTTTTGTCTTCATGCCCATAATGAATGCCATCATTTTCAGCTTCCTTCTTGTAATTTGATTCCTTTTTGCACAGTGCAAAACTTGATTTGCAGCTCTTTTTTAGGTTCTTAATAGCAATGCCTTAACTTACGCTATTTCTTTTTTATTGGTAATTCTTTTTAGAAAAGAAAATTTGTGATGCAAACTTTTATAATCAATGCAATGGATAATTCATAGTTCCATGCCACAGTTTTCCCTCCCTAGCTATGTTACATACTTTGGTAAAGTTATTATTTCCCTCCCGGTAAAAGATATCTTAATATCTTAAATCTTTATTTCAATCTATGCACTTCATCACTTTGGGAAAGCAGTATACATGGTACGCATTTATAATATTGTTCACTTGTTTGTAGTTCTTTCTGGGTCTTGTCTATCCCTTTTCAGCTTATTAATGTTTGATTTTGCCATTTTATTTTCATTTTCTTGTTTTACCGTTTGTATCATTGCCCTCTCTCTCTTTCTCTCTCTGGTGGGTACGCATTTATAATATTGTTCACTTGTTTGTAGTTCTTTCTGGGTCTTGTCTATCCCTTTTCAGCTTATTAATGTTTGATTTTGCCATTTTATTTTCATTTTCTTGTTTTACCGTTTGTATCATTGCCCTCTCTCTCTTTCTCTCTCTGGTGGGAAGGCTCAAGTTATGATGTTCTGGTTCCTCTTTCCTTTTTCCTTTATTTGCAGGGCACCCGAATTACTACTAGGAGCCAAGCAATATTCCACAGCTATTGACATGTGGTCGCTGGGTTGCATAATGGCTGAACTTTTAGCTAAAGAACCATTATTTAATGGGAAAACTGAATTTGACCAGCTTGACAAAGTGAGTGCAGTTACCTTGATTTCTTTTTCTTTCTTCTTGGATGCACAAGTGGTCAAGTTTGATATTTTTTTTGTTCTTGATCTAAGATTTTTAGAACTCTTGGCACACCCAATGAGACGATATGGCCGGGATTTTTGAAATTGCCTGGGGTCAAGGTCAATTTTGTTAAGCATCAGTAAGTAACTTCATGCCATATCCCATCCCATGTTCATTCGTTGGCAATGACATCTGTGTTCTTATTTTTGCCACTTTTTCCCCAAGCCTCCAGATTCTTGTCAGGCTTTTGCTAGCTTGCCTTGATTACATTTTTCTTTTCTATTACACAGCATAAATTTATGTTTGTTGTAACCACTGATGTGCTTCTTTTAGGTATAACCTTCTCCGTAAGAAATTTCCAGCCACATCTTTCACTGGATCTCCAATACTCTCTGAATCTGGGTTTGATTTGTTGAACAAGCTTCTAACTTATGACCCTGAGAAGGTATATTTCTATTTATTAAGGTAGATGCATTTGTTACAAACATTGCATTTTGAGCAAGGTTTAAAATGTCATGTCGATGGAAATGTCGCTTACCAAAATATAGGACATATGTCGGAAATGTCGAGGGAAATATTGTAAAAATTAGAGACATTGTGGAAAAATTATGAAATATGTGGACATATGCAAAGATATTTTGTAAAACGATAAAAGAAGCATTAATACATATTTCTAGACTATTATCTTATTCCCAACCATTATAAAGCTAAGAAACTAAGATCAATAACAAATTAGCAAATGACGATTTACTGATTTATTATGCATTTTGATGTTTTTACAAGGTTATCTGATATTTTCTTTTCTTATTTTTAAT